AAATTAAATATTTAATTTTTTAATACTAATTAATTTTAACTAAATCCTAACAGCACACTTTATTCGAGGGACATCTAGAGAACGTCCTTATAAGACGTAAAGGATATCCCTCTTTGAACGTCCCTCAGATAAAGTGTGCTGTTTGGGACATTAGAAAAATGTAAATATTTTTGATGAATGTAAGTTCTTTTCTAATGAAAATAATACTTTATTATTTAGAGAAATTTTGGATAAATATTAACATTTTTGGAATTTCTTTAACTTGAATTTGGGGATATGTATATGTCTTGATAATATTTCAAAAAGCGCCTTTACAACGTATCTTTTAGACCTGCAAATTATTTGGATATATACATATATAATATCTCGTTTTATTGATCAAATCGAATATTCATATATTTCCTTATTTACGTGCAGGTGACAATAATTAGCGATTGCTTTTAGCAATTTTATAAATATCTGCATCATCAACATTAAAGTCGATTCAGAACGCGATTATAAAGATATTAATTCGTTTTTAAAATAGCATATAGTTTTTGTTTCCTATGTCATAGACTTTCAAGACTTGTGTGCGCGCTAATAGCATTAGAAGCGTATTTTGAATATAGGCCTGTATGCAATATTGTCATTAGTCGATAGAGACTTGCTTTCTTTTTTGTATTTCATGAATTTTTTTTTCTTTTTGATAAAACGGAGAGGAAAATGGAGACAAAACGTTATTTAGAAATAGTGAATGAGAGAATTGAAAATGGAGAAAATAAAAATTAAATATGCAGAAAAATAAGAAAAAAAGATTTAAAGATTAATTCAGCAAAACAGCATTTAAGCAATTGAAATGATTAAATTGTATAAACAATTGGAAAAACAAGAATAGGAGAAAGTATAAAAAAATTGAAGGTGAGAAAACAAAAGTTCAGTAATTAAGGGAAAAGTAGAATTTAAATATAAGAATATAAAGGAGAAAAATTGTAAATTATCAAAATTTTAAAATGATTGTTTAGAAAGAACTTCAAAGAAAAAGTAAATATGATGAAATATAAGAAAATTTTTCAATTTTTTTTAATCTTTTTGAGTAAAAAGCGAATTAAAATAGATAAAATTTTTTAAAAATTTAGAAAAATGAGTTATTATAAGTGTGAGTTATTATTAGTGTGCTTCATTTAAGCGAAGTTATAAAAGTGTATTATTTTCTTAAATCAGAACTTTTGTTTTGTATGTTATAAGCAAGCATTTATTGTTATAATTATTCTACAATAATGAAGAATTAAATTCCGAATTTCTGTGCTAAATATTTGGAAATTATTGTCTGATGTATTTAGGCTTTGATAGGATATTTACTGATACATAAATCGTTAATTATAAACAATATAAATAAGACTAAAAAATAATTTCTCAACATCAATGTGTTTAAGCTTATATATGTATAATACCTGCGTTTGTTTGGCGCTTATACAGTGCTCACAGCATCACGTCATCCTTGTTGTTTGTCAAATTTTAAACAAGGTCAGATGATATTCATAAGCACTGTAAGCGCCAAACCGAACGCAGCCAATGTCAAACTGCTTAACATCTTGCGTTCTTGACGCAAGTAATCTATCTCAATTATTCTATTACAGAATAACTACTACGAATAAATTCAGTACAATTTATGTGAGAACATACCTATATTCGATTTCATCAAAAGTGATCGAGAACCGAATTGAGTATTAATAATAAGTAATTATTATTATTTATTTTAATATCAAGTTATACTATTTACATGTAATGTATTCATGTGTTGAATTTTATTAGAAACGTTCATTGACCAAAATTAATCTAAGAACATAAACAGATTTCATAAAAAATAGAGTTATAACACAATTATTAAAAAGTAATATCTGTATTATTTATTTTTTGCAAATTAAATTGTTTTTTAATTGCTTTAAAATAGTATATTGGTTAATAGCTTCTCCTATTACAAATATGTGTATTCATCTTATATACATATACCTACATATATTATTCAATAGAAAAACATCATAAAATAATTGCATGTCTATGTATATAAGCTAGTTTCTTTCATTGTGAATAACAGAATTCATAAGTGCACACAATAACTATGTTAATTACAAAATATAATTTTAATAACTTTTTTCAATTTTTTGCAAATATAATTCTATATAATTTGATCTTTTCATTAGTTTGTAAACATTTTTAATATTTTTTTTTGCATTAATAATTATCTTATTATCATATATTATCTCTTGTAAAAAATACTGTTTGATTAATGAAAAAACGAACTTGAAATATATATATATATATATATATATATATATATATATATACATATATACATATATATATATATATATTTAATATAATGTTGGATTTGAATCGTTTTCTAATTATTTTCAACTAATAACAGTTACAGCAACATAACAGTATAAAAGATATTGTGTATTATATAAGTGTATTATTAATGATACATTTATTTATTTTTTTTCTCCTCTTTTAATGTTTATCCTTTTTAATCCTTTTTTAATGCTTATATAACTGAAAGTCAAGAAAGTATTGATATTGTCAATTCTGCTAGGCTGTTACGTAAAGCGATATGTTACGATAAACGCTATCATGTTGGAATGAGAAGAGGGGGAATGCTACACTAGGCATACTGGACATACATATTCGGTCTTGGGATTTGAATGAAAGATCACGTGAAAAGCTTTACACAATGTTAAACTGTTTCACTATATTGTTTTATCTTGTTTGTTGTATTCTAATGGGCCTTGTGACAGCGTCGAAACCGTTGTCAATTTTATTTATAGAGCCTATTCCATCGATTAGCCACCACATTTGGGCAGTGAATTTAGTTAAAGGATTGCTTCGCAAAGGCCATCATGTGCACGTAGTGAGCATACACGAGACTAAGGTCGAGAATAAACTCGCGCAAAACTTGACATACGACGTAAGTAGACAAGAGCCAAAGTACTCAGAATATTCCGAGTATAAATCGATTATTTAATTTTTGTAACAAATGAGAGAATATAATTTTTCTATTTAGAAAAATGTTATCTTAACTTTTATATAAAATCAATATACTCTTTCGAAGATTCTAATTTATCACATTTTCACAAATCACATATCCTTCTCTTGTACAGTGAACAGTATACTTACTTTTCTTAGTAATTGTATATTACTAGTAATTGTATATGTTCTACTACTACCTATAATCCTTAGAAATTGGATATACTTACTTTTAGGTATTTGACGTAATGGAAACTTACGAAGAAGCTGAAGATTATAATCCATCTGATTGGGGAGAGTACAGTGTGATTTATACAGCGTATTTTACATATCAGTGGGGAATGCTGGCATGTGACACAGTAACAAAAACTAAAGCAGCGAAAGAACTTTTGGAAATGGTCAAAACTGTCGGATTTGATGTTATTGTGCAGGATATTTCAATAAATCAATGTTTCCATGGATTATGGGAGGTAAAAATAAAACAATCGTCAGTGAAATATTCTTGTTTAATGTTTAACTCACTTTTACATTGCAAGCGATTGAATTTGCCTCATAAATCAAGTTGTGTTTGCGTAGCTAGTGTTTAGTCATCATTTATATCAGTGATAGCCTTTATAACACAATTTAAAATAAGCATCCCAGTAAAGTAAAAATCATTACTACATTTGTGTTTGCGAAAAATATTAAACCTCTGCCAGAGTTTGACAAATATCTCTATAGCATTTACATTTCATTGCTAGGGATGGGGGATTTATTAGATGCCGGTGAGCATGATCAGTACTTACTAAATTGATTATTAATTTAATAACGTGATAATACTGTTCTGTTTGAAGAAAAGAGCTGTGTTGAATCCGAAAGTAACGGTACGCAATTCGTTGAAACTAAAATATGTATGTAAAATTCACATAGAAATATTAGATGCTCCAAGATCCTGCTATAATCGTGTATGGCCTTCTTTCAATTTAATTTGTGTTATATATAGACGGTCGGAATATATGTATATAGATAAAATTTTATTTTGTCTACTTACAAAATAACAATTTTAACAGCTTCTATCGTGATTCTATATAAATATCTATTGTTTTTAGGTTGCTAAAAATAAGCCACCTGTAGTGGGATTTGTACCGTTTGGTCCTCTACCTTGGCTCAAGGATTATGTCGGTGGTCCAAGTTATCCAACCGTTCGACCTTACCCGCATGCAGCCATTGCGAAACCCGTAGGTTTATGGCAGAGATCATTGAATGCTCTGTATTTTGTTGTAGATGATCTTATACGATATTACTATTTCTTACCTATTATTCAACGGCAAACTGAGAAATACATAGGCCACGCTATTAGACCATTACATGAAATAGAGAAAGACAGTATTAATATTGTACTAATCAATAGTCATCCTGCATTCGAGCCTGGAATTCCAATGCCGCCAAACAGCCTGGAGATTGCAGGGCTTCAGGCCGTGCAAGCTAGCGAAGTAATTGGAACATATCCCAAGGTAAGGAAAATTGTTTTAATTGATTATTTGAAAAAATATTGCAAAAATTGCAAAAAAATATTTTCAAAAATTGTGCAATAAAATGGAAATTTAATTAAATGCTAACCGATACATAATCTATTTACGAAAGCTTTCAAACTAACAAGATTTAGCATTTCGGTTATTGTACAGCCTTTGCGTTTTATTTCAAATAATGTGACAAAGAAATATTGATCAAATTAATAAGATTTTGCATATTATTTAAATCAGTAAAAATGTTAATTTCTTGTACAATTTTAATATTATAAGAATTTTTGCATTTATTTTTTATTATCTATTATACAAATACTTTTACTATATTGAATGTATACATATATGTATAACTCTAATTCTAATATGTAAGAAATATATTTTAAATATGTTATTTTTATATATTTGTAATTAAATAAATAGCATTTACATAATATACACATATAATTTCCATTTATTGATTAATACTTATTAATTTATATTAATTCATTATAAAAAGAGGATAATTTGTAATCAGAGGATAAATATATTGCACGGTACATTCCTAATTTTATGAGAATATTTCTTAAAATAATATTTTGTTTATAACAATGACTTATAAAAAAAATGTATAAATTTAATTATTAGAATAAATTTGATAATATGTCTTTTTGCTTAAATATGTATAATCCATTTGCAAATGTGTGTATTAATTACTTAGAACTCTATGTTTCTTTGGTTTAAAATTAAAATTAGAATATATGTTCTTGTATATTATTGAAATGTTAGTTTACCATTATTTTGCAGAATGTGCGTACATTTCTTGACGGAGCAAAGAATGGAGCCATCGTAATATCGTTAGGAACAAATGTGAAATGGAAGGCTATTGGATTAGACAAAATTAAAACAGTTATACAGGCTGTGTCGAAATTGAAGCAACGTGTACTGTGGAAACTTGATATTGAAGTGCCATTTGAAATACCGGACAA